TGTGGAAATATTATACAAAAGTGTCGGATTTTAAAGCGAAATGCAAATCTTGCAGAAATACATACCTTTATAAAGACTCGTCAAGCTTCAAAAGACATATAAAAATACATAAAGAAATTTCGGAAGACGAAGAAGAGAAGAAACTAATACGATGGAAGTATTTCAAATATTTAAACCAATACTCTTCACAATGTGTTATCTGTAATACAGATGTTCCGTCTACAACTGAATCTGTAGAACATCATTTACGTTTGCATTCTGAAGAACAACAAAAGAATAATATATATGGAACAGATTGGACATTGAGATTTCGGACAGAAAAAAATGATAATATAGTGGAATGTAATATTTGTCATAAAGATGTATCTCTTTCTATTTTAAAAAGTTTAGATTGTCATACAAGAAATAAACATTTGGACGAATTGAAAAATACGCAAGAAGCATACGACACAGTTGGTTCGTCAGAACGCGTTTCATCACTTCAAACGGACACAATGTCTGAGTAACTAAAAGATTATTTAAAATCATTCAACCCATCGGCCTGAAATGCAATATTTGTAATGAGAACATTTCATTTTTATCTAAAAATTTAGAAGATTATTTACGCTTGCATTCTAAAAAACAATTAAAAAGACATACATCTCAGAGTTGGCTATGGGAATAAGTACAAAAAGTGATTATTTTGAAGTAGAGCATAACATTTGTTACGCAGAAACATATCTATTGCTATAACAACTCATTTCAATCACCATATTAAAGATGAACATCATTTGGCAAACCAACTAAACTGAATAAAAAAAGGCAGTAAGTTTCATTGATATTATTGCTAACATCATTATAAATAAATAATTTTTCACCTTTTTTAAATCGCGCTTAATTTTATAAAAACATACAATATAATGATCATACCAAAACCCAAATGATTAATTATCATGTAAATATTATAATTATTTGCACAGTATTTATCCAGAAGTTGACAATGGAATGATGATCCAAGTAGCATACACAACCAGCAATATGACAGTCTTGATTTTGACAATTATAATTTACTATAAGATATACACAAGAAAAGTGGCATATATAGCTCTAACGTATAATTATTTGTTTATAAAGTTATGAATATGATGATCTATGTTATAGAAACAAATTACATTTTTAATTATTAATTATAATTATAGTTATAAATTTCATAATTTTATAAATTTCATAATTTTATAAAATTCAATTTAATAAAATTTTAAATTTTAAAATTTTATAAATTTAATTTAATTTTTAAATCTAAATTTAATTTTATAATTTTATAAATTTAATTTTATATATTATAATTATAACTAAAAATTTTATTGATGTGCTCTGTTTTAAATTTGTAAACTGAAACAATTTTGGTAAAATAATCATCGACTTCTCTGTAAAGGCAAAACTATCGATAATTAATACAACAATTTAATTTCAAATATTTAATTTTTGCACAACTTTTAATAAATTTTTATAATTATGTATATTCATTACTTTTTATGCTTTATATAAGATTAATTTATTATTATAACTTCTGTGAAAATCTCCGAAATGTAATATACATATTAATTGTCGATGAAATATATCAATTTAAATTTTAAAATTGTATTTGTTCGAAAAATGTTTATATGATATATAATGCATTCATCATAATTACAAATAAATTTATTATAAAAGAGTGTCATTTTATTATTTGGATATAGAATATTGTAGGAATTATTTGTTCTTGCATCAATCATGGTATTTTGCATCATTTTTATAATTCACAATGCATAGTAGGGGAGCTGTTCACAAGTTAATCTATAATTTACAAAAGTGCATCTAAATTATAACAGCGTTTAAAATAATTATTTGACAAATAATTATTATGCACATTAAATTTTTACTCATCTCTCTTTAATGCAAATATCTAATAACAGAATTATATATTTATGTCCAATAATCAAAATATTTAAAATTGCAAATTTTTTACTAAATATTTCAAAGTTACTATGTGCGTTTACATTACGTAATATTTTATAAATAATAGATAACAAATAAATGATTATATATACAGGGTGTTTTATAATGTCCGTGCCAACGCTCGTGTACGGATAGAGTGCGGTAAACTGAATAGAAAAGTCCTTTACCGTTTTGCAATTTTTGCAATAGTAATTGAGATATTAATTAAAAGGGATTGACGAATAATCGCGCGTTGATCGCGGCTAGATCGTAGGCTGTACGCTCTAGGCGTGACAACAATGAAAATCGCATGGCAACGAAAAATAACAACGCATATCACTCCTGCTCTCGCTACGTGTTATTTTTCGTTGCCATGCGATCCTCGTGTTGTTACGTTTAGAGTGTACAGCCCACGATCTAGCTACGCGCAACGCGCGATTATTCGTCAATCCCTTTTAATTAATATCTCAATTACTATTGCGAAAATTGCAAAACGGTAAAGGACTTTTCTATTCAGTTTACCGCACTCTATTCGCACACGAGCGTTGGCACGGACATTGTGAAACACCCTGTAGAAATCGCATGTTGCAACAAAATTTAATTTTATCTATAAGTAAAGATATTATAAATTTTAAATCAGATATAAAAATTATGATAGATTTCTCCATTTGTAGAGTAAAATAAATATTGAAAATATTTGCTTAAATAATACTATTGCTAAAAGATCTGTAATGTGAAGTGTACAATGATATTTATGTTTATTTTTGAGATGAAAATGTGAAAAATGTTCAAAATATATTTTCTCTTTTATTTAATAATCTTATTTAATATTCTTATTTGTGTGCGTTACCTGATGAAAACTAGTCCTAAGTAGTGCATGAAGTCATGCGGATAGCTCGGGATTAGTAAATAATCCACTTTTGGAAAGTTTTTCCCGAATTTCCAATTTTTGTGATAAAACAACGTTATATTATTAATGCTTTTTTTTGCAAAGCTAACCATAGGAAAGTCCTGTCTGCAATACATAGATATTTTTGTCTCAATATTGTAAAACTTGATGAATTTGGAGACCATCGCTATTGCCACAAGATAATGCGGTATTTCATGAATAAGGTCAAACGTGGTCCGAACACCACGGTCAGTGTCAGATGTAGTTAATGTCGGCATATTTGAAAAAATAGTGTAAGCTTTAGGATGTACAACTTTAATTTGAATAAATGATGTTACTGATTCCGCCACGTCCCAACACGGAAACACTCGTCGAACTTGGGTTGGATAGAAATTTGTTGCGAGTAACCACCTGTTACATTTTAAAGACAAGATTTCAATATTTTTATATTTTTTAGGTGTCTATTAGTGATCGTAGAATATACAAATGCAATTTGTAATGTAATTAGAAAATAAATATTGAAAATATTTACTTAAATAATATTATTGCTAAAAGATCTGTAATATAAAGTGTGCAACCATTATTTATTTTTACAATAAGAAATCTTAAAATAAATACAATTGCCAATATATTTAAATAAACAAATTTTTTTGTAACTAATGCTGAGTTTAAGTATATACTAATTTTATAAAGTACATTTTGTAAAAAAAAATATAGATCGCAAATTGATTTTTAGAAATTTATATATTAATGCATTTAATTGCTGCTCACAAACAACAAAAGTTATTTGATTTTAATATTAAAATAATTTGCTTGTGCAATTAAAAATTATATTTATAAAAATAATACTTTAATTTGTATATCAATATGAAGATTATTAGTAAAACAGTATGTAGAGTTTACAATAAAATAATGTGTTTTTAATAAATTATTGTTTACTCACGTTTTTATGTTTGCATCATTTATATACGTAGTAGTAAAAAAGTTTGGATTATCTGTTACTACTCCGGTATACGAAAAATATATGTCGTAACGTCCAGGTGATACCAATTTCTCCACGAGAGAACAAGAGGAATTTTTACAATATTTTCTTTTCCATAAATCAAGAACAATAACATGTGTATGGTTTATATTCTCTTCTATAATCGGTAAACTATATAGAGTTCCATATTTAGAGGAGTGCGCAAAATTAAGAGTTTTTATATGCAGATTTAGTGAATGCAAAATTATGTAACGTGTGTCGCAAAAATTTTCGATTGTGATTTTAGTAGAACCAGAGAATACGCCTGCTTCAGCATTCATTACGTCCAACTCGATATCATAACCTTGGATTTCATAATTTTGTAATATATCATGCAAATTTTGAAAACTAGAATCATTATTACATCGCCTGTCTTCTGAAACTGCATCGCAAGAAGAAATTATCGCGGCAATCAGCATTAAACTATTACTGCAGAATAATAGTTTTAAGAAGACCATGGCAATTTTCGTTTCTGGTTTCTGCAAAAATATTTATTTTTAAAACAATATAAAACAAAAAATACTTGCACAAATTACAGCAATTTGTATTACAAATACGAGTATTACAAAGGATTACAAATGTTTAAAAAAAACTTATAATTTTTTGCTGCACGTTAATTCAATTTCGTTATATTTATCTTAAAACTTGAATTTATATACCTTATTTAAAAAATAGTTTTTTTTCATAATTTACATTGTGCCAAGTTTAAAGATTTTATCATCACAATGTATGTTTGTTATTAATGTCTGTTTCCATTTATTTGTCGTGCGCGAAGATAAATGCAAATTTTATCTCGTTTCTTTACAAATCTTTACATATGATATTTAGAAATATAAAATTAAGAAAAATAATTTACAAGTGATTAATTCAATTTCTTTGATTTCACTTATAAGTTAACATATAATTATTAGCATAATATTTTCGAAGTCTACAGTTGTGAACTCTCACCATAAAATCAATGTATATTTAGAGAAGAAACACGAAATATATAACCGACGTGCGAAAAGTGAAAACTTAAACATTGCTTGGGTGTATCATCATTTAAATTTCATGACCTAAAGTGTATCAAATGCTAGTGTGCTTTCTGTTCGTACTTGTTATAACGTACATATTTTAAAAAATAAAGATTCTATTTGTTGTGTATTCATCCTTCCCTTGCTTTAATACAATTTAAGAAAAATGTAATCTTTAAAATTACTAATTATAAATATATATATGCAAAAATATGTAGAAGGAAAATAAATGCGTGATAATAAATGTCTATAGAAAATTTAATACAATAATTTTACAATTTTTTAATTTTTAAATGAGTAAATTCTATATTGCTTAAAAGCATAAATATATTGATGTATATGTTTGCAATCGTCGTTATATATATCACAAGAAAAATATTTGAGAATTATTTCAGAAATAAAAGTATGGAGTAACAATAACAGTTTTGTTAATATGAGAACAAAATTGTACATTTCCTTCTATATTTAAAAAAATAAATTATTAAATATTGTTTCTGGTAACTCACCTTATATGCTAAAATGTAGCAACACTTAAGATTAGTATATCTCAATTAATTCAGTTTAAAGCACGTTACAAACTCAAGTTACTAATGCTACAAATATATATAAGCCTATCCTGATCACCGTATCGAGAGACCATCGAATACTAACCAAAGTATACGTAGATAAATATTATAAGAACTGGTGTCATGTAAACAAGTGTTTCTTATGAACAACGTTTATAAACGTCGATGAACAACTCATATTTGGCAAGAAAATATATAATAAAATATTATTAATTGTCGATGCTTTTTGTTGTATCGTATATTACAGAAAGCAACTAAAAAATTGTAATTATCACAAATCCTAAAAATTTATTTTTTATAAGCTTTTTACAATACATAATATTTTATAATCCTCTACTATCATTATTTCGCACAATATAATGTATTAAAATTGTACGTTGCTTAAAATTTTAAGTTTAACATAAATAAAAATTCTTAAAGTGTTGTTCTGAACTCATCTATAATTGATAAAAACTAAAAATTATGTATTTAAATAATAAAAATAAAGAATAATTAAAAATTTAATAAACCATACATTAGTACGAATCCTACTTTGAATTGTATGTGTTTTTCTATAATAATAATTTGTAGTTATATATTTCCTATATTGTTCTTCTCTTAAAATTATATTTTCAATAATCATGATTAATCTTCTCTTTTGTTACTGTATTTAAATTATTGAACACGGTGACAGTTAAATATTATTATAAAAATAAATTGATAAAACATTTATTATTTTTAAAGAATATGTTTACATATTTATTCTTATAAACATTTTTTCAACACATTTTTTAATAATATTACATTATTTTAATATTTTAAGTGCCAGTTGTTTACAATATATTTTTATCAAAAAATATATTTTGACATTAGTGACCATACTGAGTTCACAATAAGTCTTCAATAATTTTTTATTCTGCAATCTTATTAGACACACATCTTAACACACATCTAAAACACATATCTAAAAAAGGTATACTACAATATTTGATTAGATACCTATAATAGTTAAAATTTCAAAACAGTGTATTTTTTTTATATTAATAATACATTATTATTTACATTTAGCAGTACTTTTCGTATTGTTTTAACTACATTTATAATTAATTATAACTAAAATTTATATATTTAAGTAATAAAAATAAAAAACAATTAAAAATTTAATTAAATATATATAAGTACAAATTGTACAAAAGTGTACAACAGTACAAAATTAAAAACAATAATTCCCAATGCATGTAGATACATTCATCGCAAATTACAGATAAATAAGTCAATAGATTAGTATGTCAATAAAAAAGAAATTCAATAGGTAGTCATTAAAAAAGGAACAGTAACATATTTTGTGTACCTATCGTATATACGTTTAGATTGAGCTTGCCGTACATTTATTTTTTGCATAATGTTTGCAATTATTTCTTTTTCATATTGGTACGAAACTACGAACTCGTCTTCAATATTGTCATACCATGATATACTAACCGTCGCTAGATTAGTTTGTATATAATTTGATATCTGTAACAAATTATTTAAATATTTATTATCAATAATATGGTTATACACCACAATCAACTCGACGTGAAACAATACTTAAATTTTCAATACTATTGAGAAATGCATACTTGTAGTTTGCAAATTATATAGCACATATACAGAGTGTCCGGTAACTCGCGGACCAACGCTTGTGAGCGGATAGAGCACATTAAACAGAACAGAAGAGTTCTTTACCATTTTGCAATTCTCGCAATAATTATTGAAGTATTAATTAAAAATATTCCCGAATAAGCGCGCGATTAGATCGTAGGATGTAACTGTAGGCTTCTGTCCGCTTGCTACTGTTCGCGCGTCTGCGACTCTCGTCGCGCGGTCAAACATTTCGTTGCCGTGCGACATGCGACTCGCCGCTAACACGTCTACAGTTACATTCTACGATCTAGCCGCGCACTTAATCCACAATCTTTTTTAATTAATACTTACATAATTATTGCGAGAATTTCAAAATGGTAAAGAACTTTTCTGTTCTATTTAATGTGCTCTATCCGCTCACGAGCGTTGGTCCGTGAGTTACCGGACACCCTGTATAAATAAATAACTTCAATTTAAAAAAACTAATAAATAAATTGATATTTGTATTTATAAAACTTGCCTTATCAAATAGCTCAATTGTATAAACGCTATTAATTATAATGCATAAAAGTGCCAGCCTATTTAAATCGCTAAAAAAAAAAACACAGAATCAGATTATATTTATCAATAATTTTTGTGATGTATCGTTAACGATACATTTTTTTATAAAAAAACAATGGTATTACCTAAGTACTATGTACTGATATTTGTTTAATATCTCCGTAAGTATTACATCTTTATTGGCATGCTTAACAATAATAGAAAGAAATGGTTCAATATTGTTACTATTTATTACTATCTCGAAATAATTTAATATGATATCAAGAGTGTTGCTGCATGTTAAAGCAGTTTCCAAACGTCTTTTTTCATATGTTTCATCAATGTCATGTGTTTCATCAATGTCATGTGTTTCATCAATGATCATTGATACATTATTCCAAGTGTTTTGATCTGCCTTTTTTAAACCATTGCATAAAAGCAAAGCTTTCCATTCTGTTGAATAGCTATGATATTTAAAAAAAATTTAATTATAATCAATACTACATATGTTCTTTATAATCTCATGTCTTAATCACAATTTATCAGAAATCTTGTGAGAAGTTAAAATATGTTTGCAATAAATCGTAATTATAAAAAATTTACCTTTTTATTTCTAATGATGAAGGATTTGCGACATAAATTTTTAAAAATTGTGCAGCTTTAGAAAGACATGTTGGAGTATTAAAAATACATGACCATTTTACAGCTTCCTGCCATAAACTTTTAGTAAGTGGTTTTGTGTGAATGTCATTCAAATCTTTTTCTATATCATTTAAATAAGTTGTCTCCAAAAGATCGAAAATTTTCGCCATTTCACGCTTAAATTTGTTAAATATAACAGTTGTTAATATAATAATTTTGACATGCTGTAGTTGTATGTTTAAATGAAAAAATAATCTTTGTTAAGATATATATCAGAAAAAGTTCTTTTCATTATTTAATATATGCCATGCTTCCAAACTTTCTCGATCTTTATTTAATGTTAAATTATGTCGGTAATATTTTTTATAAAAGAAATTTGTTGTTATGTACCTTAAAATCAGACACTATGTCGTCAGGCTCATATGCAAGGCTAGTCGATAAATATTCAAGAGCTTTAAACATAGGATACCATGGTATGTAGTCTTTTTCTCGCCATAGATATTGCGTCAGTTTCCAAAACAAGTCAGGATGAAATTTGTTTTGTGTAATCATGAAGTTAAACGAGTCGTCGATAAGTTGAGCACGATTGAGGACATGTATTTTGTAAAAATCTTCAGAATTCATATATTCGCTAATACGCACCCAGTTCGAATAATCATAATAAACGCGATAGTATCCTGTTGTGAAATAAATAAAATTTTTTTAATTGTTACAGCTTGTGTATGTTGTTGATTTTATTTACCAACAAATATATTTGTATCTAAACTATTTTTTTCTTATAACGTCTTACGTAAATTTATTAACGTTTTTTCAAAAAACACAGCTTTCAGTTAATCAAAACTAATTAATCATATATTTGCAAATATTTAACATCTTATTGGCTACGCTGTATACAATAAACAATAGGTCTGTCTTTATTTGATCAAAATAGTCTCTTGTTCAACATAATCCTTATTTATTGCAATATATACGAATTGTAAACAAAATAAATTTGTTGTTAAAAATTTACCTGCTTGCTGTATGTTAATTAAAATCCATTGAGATGCAGGAAACTCTGGTATAACATACTCTACTTCTATTGGTGTTAACCAATGAACATCATGGCAATTGGGCGAAGTAGTAGGATTAGCTTGCGTAGCGTAGGTAAAAGGTATATACCATTTGTTCTCATAAATATAATTCTGTTCACTTTCAGAATAATCTGCCGTTATTATCACATTCTCGGCATTTCGCGTCACGTTCAACACGGGATAATGTCTTTGCGTTATCCAAGTATCAATCATATCGCTGAATAAAAAAGTGATGCTTTTCGGGCAATTGTTTGAAAAAGCATATTGTATATGAAGTAAATAACTGTGTAGAGTTGATAATCTGTAACAGTAGTTATAGTAAGTTAGATTTGATATATTACATAAGTATAATCTTAGTTGTTTGACAATATTGACATATAATTGATTTTTTATATATTGCATAAGACAATATAAATTTATGATACATTATTAATAAATATATATATTTATTTATTATTTTATTCTAATATTTTTTCTGTGCAATACTACTTTGTGTATAGCATTGCACATTTAAATTTACTGTGTATTGCACAGTAAAATAATATTAAACGTTATGTGTTTAAAACAGTAAAGAACTTTTCTATTCAGTTTACTTTCCTCTACTAATTCACGAGTGTTAGTTCGATTATTCTGAGACATCCTGTATACAACACACGCGCGCGCGTATACTTTTTTGCAACTAAATTATTTGGAAATATTATCATTTGTAGGTTAAAATTTTAGTATCAAAATATTTATTTGAAATTATTCGTAGATATAAAAAAAATATTTACAATTTATGTAATTACAAAATTGTTCTTTGATGTAAAAAAATGTATGATAGCAGAAATTTATGCATGCAAAATTATATCATTCCGTAAAGCTGATCGAGTTATATCTGCATATTTCTGACATATCGCTTGTATATTAATATCTTGTAAGAATGCAACGAGAAATGTTATATTGTTCTTATAATTAATTTTATAGTTTGTAATTATTTTACATAAAACTCACCTGGTACCATAATGGACATAATTGTTGAAGAGTGTATTTGCAGGAAGTATTTGCTGTATCATGCGCAGTATAAATGGTGCTACAAAAATTAAAATAAGAGTGTGCAATTAAATAGGTAAAGTAAGGTTTCGGTAAAATAAAATAAATAAATTTTATCATAACGTCCTCAAATTTGAGAAAAATAATGATTTTACCATCAAATAAATAAATTATTTCTTACAATATAGCAAAGTTTAAAAATGTAAATAACTATGGAAATAAATAGAATGATATGTACAATAAAGCCTTTTCGTTATTTTATTCTTACATTCTGAGATTTATAGTTAATTCTTTAATGAAATATATTTATTTATTTTTACCCTTCATGTAACGAAGATAGAAAAGAGTGAAATCAGAGGTATTATTCATCTCTGATATAAGAGGATTCATTACTAAAGTATCCAAACGAAGAGATTCGTGTTGAGTTTGAACTACTAACAGCTGTGTCATCCGTAAAGTTGGGTGATTCTGTAGAAAAAACAAATATTATTTTATAATATTAAATTAATTTTTCAATTGAAAAATATGCTATTATTAACAATGTATATTAACGTTTTCACTTGCTACTTTCTAAAAAAGAATTTATTTTTTTATTATTTTTTTCTTACTAGTATAAAAATATAATAAAACCGCAAAATGATGCAATATAATTATATATAAACAAAATTGTTTAAAAGATATTGTAATTAAATGCATAAATTTTTAAAACATAAATTTTTGTAGGAATTTTAAAATTAATTTTAGGCATTAATTGAGCAAGTATAAATATGTAACAAGTCAGTGTACTAGTTTTAACAAATTTTTAAAAACTTAATATAAATTTTATATCTTTATAATATAATATCTTTTTTTAGATGAGTAAACTATTTTGCTTTTTCTATAGTTTAAAAACAACCTGCTCGACGACATGTGCTCCGATTAAGACAGCTAGACCTTCTTTTAACCACGTATAAGACCAATATGGTTTAATGTACTCATTAACATATGGATGTGAGAATGCACCGCCTATTAAACGCAGGATATTACTTTGATGGCCAGCGGTATTTGACTCTCCTTTATACAATAAGTCTGACTCTCTGAAAAATTTTAAATAAATTTTTATATAAAAAGAGTAATTCAGTGTAATTTTCAATTCTGCATTTAATCATATTAAAAATATTTTTTGAATGAAAAATTCGGCAATGTATAAATAATATTTTGTTAAAAATGATATAAACAATTACAAAAAACATTTAATAAATTTTAACAAACAAACGGTAAATCTTTTTTTATATAAACAATCAATGTTCAGTAATGCTATCAACACACCAAAAATGCTTTGTTTAAAAAAAATTATCCTTAAAATGTATTATGCTTTGATTATGTCATATAAACTTTTTTATATTCAAAAAAATAGTAAGTCATAACATTTTTCAATATTTTGAAAAAAACGAAAATCTGTTTTTATAACTAATACGCTCTTTTTATTCTGCATAACATAAAACTAATAACACAAAAAATAAATTATCTAATAATAAGTAAAGATATTATAAATTTTAATCAGATATAAAAACGATTTCTTTATATATATTGTTCACAGAAGAATTATTTCTCTATAACAGACGCTATAGCGTCTGTTATAGAGAAATAATTATAATAATTATTATAATTATAATAATTAATATAATAAATAATTAATTAATATAATTAATTATAATAATTATAATTATTATAATTATTTACTATGCAATATATTGCATAGCGCAGGAGCGGTATTGTCTTTATAGATGGATTCGCTTCGGAGATTTGAAAATCATCGTTGTATTTTTATATAAAACTCCCAAGCTTTATTTTCTGGCAATTGAAAGAGCATTTAATGAACAAAAATGAATGTGTTTGTTAGATCCAAAGTCTATAGTTACCGAGATCTTTCCAATAAAGATTTAATTTCACTTATGACAGAGGTAAAGAGAAAGAATAAAGCATTAATCCAATCGCACAATCTCAAAATTACAATCAATATAAACAGTTTACTTTTGAAATCAAAATGTTGAAGTAAAAAAAAATTATTTTCTTTTATTTGAAAATTAATATTTTTCTTATTTGCGTGTTACCTGATGAAAGATAGTCCTGAGTAGTGCATGCTGTTATGCCAATAGTTCGGGATTACTAAGTATTCAATTTTTAGTATCCATGATGGCCATATCCAATTTTGGCGTGCAGAAAACAAGACTATATTATTAATGCTGTTATTTGCAAACTCGAAGGACTCGAAATCGTTACGCAATACATCTCTGCAAAACATATCTATGTTTGGTTTAATACTGTAAAATGTGTAGAATTTGCTGGAGACCATTGCAAATGCCACATCAGAAGGAGATGTAAGGACAACATCTTCGAAATTACTCTCCGTGTGAGTTGAATAACTTTCCTTCCATGTATTTGAAAAAACTGTATATTCTCTTTGATGTATGACCGTAAGATGGAAGATAAACCGTTTTTTATCCTGTTTTAAAACGTCCCAACATGGAAACACTTGTTGCGCTTTGTTAGGATAGAAATCTGTTGCGAGTAACCACCTGTTACATTTTAAAGGCAAGATTTCAATAATAATAATTTTTTAGATGTCCATTAGTGATCGTAGAATATACGAATGCAATTTATAATGTAACATTAAAAAATAAACATTGAAAATATTTACTTAAATAATATTATTGCTAAAAGATCTGTAATATAAAGTGTGTAACCATAAATATTTCTACAATAAGAAATCGTAAAAAAGAATACAATTGCCAATATATTTAAATAAACAATTTTTTTTATGCAACTACTGTTGAGTTTCAGTATATACTAATTTTACAAAATACATTTCGTAAAAAGGAATATAGATCACAAGCTGATTTTTAGGAATTAATATATTAATGCATTTAATTGTTGCTGACACACAAAAGTTATTTAATTTTAATATTAAAATAATTTACATGTGCAATTAAAAATTATATTTATAAAAATAATACTTTAATTTGTACGTCAATATGAAGATTATTAGTAAAACAGCAAGTAGAGTTTACAACAAAATGACGTGTTTTTAATCAATTATTGTTTACTCACCTTTTTTCGTTTTTTTCATTTATATGCGTAGTAACAAATAAGGCTGGATTATTTGCTAATGGTGCGGTATAAGATATAATTATTCGGTAATATCCCCTTTTTACGAAATTCTCCATGGATTTACATTTCGTACAAGGTTTTCTCCTCCATAAATCAATGAGGATAGCATCTTCATGGTTCCCTTGTCCAAGCGGTATTTTATCGGACGGTACGTCGTATCGAGTATTTGTATGATCATAAAAATTAACTTTTGTTATATTCAGATTTACTGAATGCAAAATTATGTAACGTGTGTCGCAAAAAAAATTGAAAAAGATTTTAACAAGGCCGTTGAACACGCTAGTATGAAGATTCACAAATTCCAACATGATATCATACTTCGAGATCTCATAATTTTGTAATATATCGTGCACAATTGGAGAACTAGAATTATTACTACATTTCCTAACTTCTGCATCGGAAGAAGCAATTATCGCGGTAATCAGCATTAAACTACTACTGCTGAATAATAGTTTTAAGAAGGCCATGGCAATTTTCGTTTCTGGTTTCTGCAAAAATATTTATTTTTAAAACAATATAAAACGAAAAATGCTTGCATAAGTTACAGCAATTTGTATTACAAGTACGATAATTACAAAGTATTACAAATATTTAAGACTTATAATGTCTTGCTACACGTTAATTCAACTTAGTTATTTCAACTTGAATTTACTCTCTATTTGCGAAATAGTTCTTTTTCATAATTTACATCGCACCAATTTGAGGATTATATCATTATAATATATGTTTATCATTATTAATGTTTGTCTCCATTTATTTATTTATTGCGCGGAGATAAATGCAAATTTTATCTCGTTTTTTTACAAATCATGATATTTAGAAATATAATATTAAAAAAAATAATTTGTAAGTGATGAATTCAATTTCTTTGATTTCACTCATAGATCAGCATATGTTTATTAGCATAATATTTGCATTAGCATAATAAGTCTACAGTTGTTAACTCTCATCATAAGGTCGGTGTATGTTCAGAGAAAAAATACAAAATACATAACCGATGTGACCAGTAAAATTTAAACTTTGCTTGGTATATTATTTTTAAAATTTCTTATGACTTCTTAAATGACTTAACGTGTATCAAACGGTGATGTACAAGTCATTTTGTATTGTTATAAGGTATACATTTTTTTACAATAAAAATTGCATTTGTCGTGTGCTTATTATTCATTTATTCAGCGCAGAGCAAAGTAATGGTAAGCTTTAAAATTATTAACCACAAATATGTTTTTGTAAAAATATGTGCACGAAAAAATATGCAACATAATTAATATTTTTAAATAACATAAGAATGTTTATAGTAAATTATTATAACTATAGTAAGTTTACATTTTTTAATTTTTTAATTTATGAATTTCATATTGTTTAAAAGCATAAACATATAT